AATCGATTGTTCATATGTTTTGCCTTTTCTTACTTTATCTGTTGGATTGATTGATTGTTCTATGCTCTGGTTATTGTGAGTTTTTGATTGAGTTAAGGGAATTGAGCTGTGCCAATACAATCGGCAATAATTGTGTGTTTATCAAAATGGAATTTGGTATCTATGTGACTATGCCTGTGTAATACGCTTTAAGCTGTATTATGTCAACACTCAACAAAGATAAGAAGACAGAACTAAAGTCGCTATTCTTTTGGAGATTTTATGGGAAAGTGAAAGTGTTGAATTGATCAGTGATTCAGTGACTTATATTAATAGGAAGATAAGGAGATAGCGGCCAAATGTTACTGCTTTGTTATGTGCTGATTTAAATTGGTATATGGTATGCTATGCCTTAGAACTTTAGAAGTGACTTATGTTGAGTTATTGTTGATGTTATTATGTTAATCTTGTAAGAGCCTATTCTTTCATGCTCTGTGTTTAGGATGTTAATAACTTGTGGACTTGAAACAGTTTTTACAAATTTGTGACTCTAATCAAACAAGAGAAACGTGTCATGCTTTTGATGTGTTCAACTATAACACTGTGTGGATAAGAGGAAATGGAAAGAAAAGGAGGGAAGGGAAAAGAGGGGAACAAGTTCCCTTATTTGGGTAAGAGGTTGAGGGAAGGAAGGGGAGGGAGAGGGAGGGAAAACCCATTTTCCCTCCCTCTTTAATAAACACCATTTCTTCAAAACTGAAGAGATTTGGAAGGAAGTTGTACTCCACCTTCCCCCTCCCCTTCCTCCTCTTTCCCTTCCCTTCCTTTCCCTCCTATCCACCTAGCCAAACAAAGTGTAAATGTCCTAAATGACAAGCTCAATTTCCCTGTATACTGCTGATTACATTATTTGTGACTTGCAATTCTGAAGGTTAATCAAGATTCAACTTCTGAAAATTCTTGTTGAAGATTCTTGAAACATGCAAACGTTTATTCTAATGCCTGATGATAAGTCACATAATTTGTCTCTTTTTTTTTTAGACTTGTGCTATTAACTTAAATGTTGATTTTTGCAGGAGGACTTTGAAAATTATTGGTCTGAATGCCCATGGGAAGATGATTTGGGATATGCTAAGGCTGTTTGCAATCAGGTAGCTCTCTAAGTACTTAAGTAGTGGTTTCTGCGGTTGGTATTTGTTTCCAACTGAACTGGAAGGACATTTTTTTCCAGGTTGATGTTCCATTGGAAGTCGTGCATCTGACTGATGAATATTGGGAAAAAGTGGTATTGTTTTCCGTGTCGCATAGGCGTGTTTTCTAGTTGCCATATGTTTTATGCACACATCTTAGCCTTCTTTTTCTTTGCATGTGTTCTTAAGGCTTGAGACTCATGGGACTATCTATTAGGTCTCTTACATTATTGAAGAGTATCGAAATGGGCGTACTCCTAATCCTGATGTGCTCTGTAATACAAGAATAAAATTTGGTTAGTAGCTTGCCCTCTTTGCTGTGTAAAGGAATGAGTCTGGAAATTGGATGATGATATTCTTGTTCACAGCTGTGTTATCCTTACAGTTCATCTTCTTTTTTTCTTTCAGGTGCATTTATGGATGCAATTAGCAGTTTGGATTTTGATTATGTAGCCTCAGGACATTATGCAAATGTGATTCATCCGTCGATTGATGCACTGGATAATCCTTCTGTTCTGGAGCTGTCAAGGGATATGGTTATTATGTCGTCTGTTTTTATTCTGTTTTCTTCTTGATCTTATATTGTTAGTGCCAAGTGGTAGCTTCCGACAATTCACACTTAACTATTCTTTTTGAATCTTTGATACCTCAGGTCAAGGATCAAACTTATTTCTTGTCACACCTAGATCAACGTCAGCTTAAACGCCTTATTTTCCCTCTGGGATGTATATCAAAGGTGAGAGTGATTTGTTTGTTTGTGCTTAGTTGCTTACCAAACTGACTACTGGAGCTAATACCTATCAATTCGGCGGTTGGTTTAACCAATAAGATAAGTTGATGAGTCTTTAGCATGAAGTAAATACAATTACAAGTGCATTATGCTAAAAGTATCTAACCATGTTGTACAGTGGTGTAAGTGGCTGGTGAAGTGGACTTGTTAATTGTTGAGGTTCCTTCGAGGAAGATTTGTGCTGTAGCCATATACTTTAATACTTAGGATGTATATTCATTCTGGAGTCTGCTGAATAATTATTGTTCACTACTTTGCTTTCCTCATATCTTGAACCTTTTGTTGTCTGGCATTTTGCATTCTTAGATTTGTTTTTCATTAATACATGTGTTGACTTACTTTCAGGATGAGGTCCGTAAACTTGCTAGCGAATTTTCTCTACCCAACAAAGATAGAAAGGATTCACAAGGAATATGCTTCCTTGGAAAAGTATGTTTAACAAATTAATATTATTGGTGAAGGTTTGTTTGCTGTACATTGGTGTTTGAAGTCGTCTTCCTTTTCATGCTTCAATGCAAACATGGAATTTAGATGTCTGATTTCTCTTGACTTGAGTTTAAACACTTTCTTCTAGTTTTTATTCAACTTGAAATCTACTGTGTGCTGTATTATGTGATTAATCTGCATGTGTTCAACATGATGATTTTCTTTTCATCTTGACGAGTCACAAAATTTAGTACTGGATATTAGGATGTCATTTTGCTTGTTAAATTACATTTAAACTCATTCCCAATACTACTCTTAATGACTAGCTATCAAATGAGCCGTAATATATATATATATATATATATATATATATATATATATATATATATATATATATATAATTTCCCTTTATACTCGTATACTGCTACTCCATACTGCTTTTGGTCCTTGTTTGTTTTGTTTATACGTTGTGCTTTGCCTGTATAGATGGAAAAATAAACTCTATTGCTTTGCTAGCATGTATTGATTTCTATTACGTAATTGTGTATCAGTTCTTGTTCTCTCTTGAGATTGTATCCTTACTGCTGCCTTATACAGGCTCCCTTCTATTTCAGATAAAATTCAGTGACTTTGTTGCACGGCATATTGGTGAGATGGAAGGTGTCATGTTGGAAGCTGAAACAGGAGATTTTCTTGGGAATCACCGTGGATTTTGGTTTTACACAATTGGTCAACGCCAAGGCCTACGCCTTCCTGGGGGACCATGGTATTTTCTTTCCCATAATTCAATTGTACAGATCCATTATTCTTTTTGGGTTTAGTAATCAGTGTGCAGATGAATTTTTTTCTAAATCATAAACAAATGATGTATCCATGACTCTGTATTTGTCCAGTGTGTACCTTTTAGGGAAGATATTTTTTTGGTTAATTTTTGTGCAGATGAAAGTGTTTTATTTATTTTTTATTTATTTATTTTTTAATTGCCTTGCAAGGTTTTGGGGAAAAAATTTGCTGTTGATGGGACATGAGGGGATGAGACTGTGAGAGGGGGGGAGAGAGAGAGAGTTACTTTTGTGACCGATAAGCTTAGATTTAGATTATAAATGTTGGTCCTCTTGTCCCTCCCTATAATTTTCCCATATCCGTGTTCTCAACTGTGCTTTACATTTATCTTTAAAATTTGCCTCTCTTTGACAACCTGTTTTTTGTGGGTGTATAGGTATGTTGTACAAAAGGACATTAAAAATAATGTAGTGTTTGTGTCAAGAAACTATTATTCAGTTGACAAAAGAAGGCGTGTATTTCGTGTTGGATCTTTAAAATGGCTTGGTGGCTTTCCCAAAGACAACATGAGTGAGCTACAGTGCAAGGTAATGGCCTTGAAGCAGAGATTTTTTTATATCAAACTATCATGTATGGAGTAGCAGTTCAGGTTCCATGTTTGATTTATTGTTGTTTATCATGGGGTGGCAATAGGCCGTTGAAAATGCCCTTTTTATTATTTCTAGGGCATGGCTACATACTTCTATGTTCCCAACTTCTTCAGACATTGCCATAGGCAGAAGCCCTATGCACTGTATGGTTACTATGAGAACCAGCAAGAACTGCATCTTTAAAGTGCTGACTGCTGAAAGGTGTTTTTAGCATCAACATTCGATGAAATTCCAAACTCTGGTGTAGCTGCATTGGAATCACGAAAAACAATTATCTTGTGCTTCATGATTATCTTATGTAGACCTTCATTTTTTTTTTGGTGGGGGTGGGGATTGTTTGTGTGTGACTGTGTGGAGTGTGTGGTGTGGTGGGAGTGGGTGGAGTCAATGATGAAATGATGCTACTGTTAATTGTCTCACAGGTCATCTTACCCACTATATCTCTCTTTTTAGGTTCGACATGGTCCTAGCTTTTATTCCTGCAGTTTGACAATGGTATCTGGTGAAAACTGCAATGGAGATGTAGCTGTTGTCCATCTGTCAGAAGACGATCAAGGCTTGGCTGCTGGTCAGTTTGCTGCCTTCTACCAAGGGAAGACATGCATTGGCTCTGGCGTAATACTTGAGTCCTGGGATGAGGAAGGTTTCCCAGTTTGTGAGAAGGCTCTTGAAATCGCCAGAATGGAAGACAAGTCAAAGCTCGGAAATCCTGTAAAAATCAAGGTTAAACCAGAGGAACCTAAAGTGGATACCTACGAGAAGGTGGAAGTATCAATTCAGCAAGTGTGATTAGTAGATGAGTTGAAGCTGAACAGGGGGTGACTGGCAGCCTATCGCCTAGTTGGATGCACCAGCTGAAACACAAAATTTTGCAGTTTTAGTTATCTTGTCTGTTATTCCACAGGATGATGAGGTTTCAAATTTGTTGTATATGAAGTACAACTATTTTTTTTTTCCCAGTTTAAGGTAGCAGGTTCCACAGGGCAGTGTACTGAAGTTGTACTTCACAATTTATAACTTGCATCTGGTACATGATCTTGTCTCAATGGGATTTGTTATGGGCTGTCCGGTTGTTTATTACGATATCATCTTTTGCCAAGACAGCTTGTAAATTGACTTCAAAACTACTCTAATACAGAAGTTATAAATATACTTTTGTTACGTTTATAAACTGTAAAATAGAATTCTATAATTATCATCTGTTATATAGCTTGTCAATCTTTGTTAGGTAAAGTTCGATTGGCTTATAATCTCCTAAAACTTCAAAAGCAAAATTAACCTATTTCTTCCATCTATTTAATGATAATTTGAATTGAATTCAATCACCTCCAAGCTCACAAATATAATTAATTGACTCGACAACTTAATAAGGTAAAATTCTATTAATTCATCATCTCAAAAACTATAAATACGTAGCAATTTTTTTTTTTTTTTTTTTATTATTTCTTTCCATCACTCATCCTATCTTCCAAATATAGAGAATAGGAGATCAAATTTTATATTTCCATTTCCCAAAAAAAAAAAAAAAAAAAGAAAAAGAAAAAAAAAAGAAAATTATTACCGCTTTAGGTGTACAATAGCATTATTCGGCTACCTATTCTATCATACGCCTTCTCATCTAGTATTGAAATACAGAAGATAAACCCCCCCAAAACCACCAAGCTTCAACAATGGCGATTACAGGAAAAATGGCTGCATTTTCTCTCTCCAAAACCATCCCTCCTCTCTCTCCTCTGCAGCAAACTTCTCGAAGTTTCTCTGTTTCTCTCACTCTCTCTCCTCCTCAAATTTCTCCTTTTCGCTCCAATTCTTTCCATAAACCTTCCCTAAACCTCCATTTTCGACCTTCTGTTCTTCGCTCGCCGTCCAACAATGGTGGAATTGGTGAAAACGATGAACCAGAACAAGAAGAAGTCAGTGATTATGATGATGATGAAGTTGAGGAGGAGGAGGAAATTTTCGATTACGAAGGTTATCAAAGTGAGGGAAGTGATGCGGATTTCATCATTGATGAAGAAGAGCTTGAAGCTGAAGCTAGGGCTGTTGTTCGCGAATTTTCGACGTCTTTGTCTCGTGAATTGAAGATTGGTTCGTTATTTTGAAGCTTAATCAATTGGCGTTTTTTTTTCCTTTTGTCTAATCAATTGCTAGCTAATGTATAATTAGGCTCATAATTTTATGTTGATATTTAATTATTAAATTTCAATCTGAATTTGCTTTGAAATTGTTATTATAATTTATAGATTGTATACTTAGGCTGAAAATTTGATGCTGATATTTAAATTATTAATTTTCAATCTAAAATTGCTTTGAAATTCTTATTATAATGTGTACTTAGGCTGAGAATTTGATGTTAATATTTAAGCTATTGATTTTCAATCTGAATTTGCTTTGAAATTGTTATTATAATGTGTACTTAGGCTGAGGATTTGATGTTGATATTAATTATTAATTTTCAGTCTAATATTGCTTTAAAATTCTTATTATAATGTATACTTAGGCTGAGAATTTGATGTTGATATTAAATTATTAATTTTCAATCTGAAACTGCTCTGAAATGCTTATGAATTGTATACTTAGGCTGAAAAGTTGACATTGATGTATGTAAATTATTGATTTTCAATCTGAATTAGCTTTGAAATTCTTATTATGTGGATTTTGTGCATGTAATTTTTTGGATTTAATTGTTATATATGCTAATAATACGTGGAGTTGAATGCTTCATTTTTACGAATTGAGATTAATGGATGTAATTGTTGAATATGCTGAGACAAATGTGGAATCAATTGTAGCTTGAGTAAATTTCATTCTACTCACCTTCCTTTCGTTGAGGAAAATTTGTGGATATATAGACTCAAATTTCTCTGTATGTTGATCATAGAGGAAGACGGGACGAATCGTGGTAAAGAAGCGGGAGGAAAACAGCAACGACAGAAAACTGTACCTAAGAATGTTAGTGAATTAGAACTTATTGTTTGTTTTCTACAACATTTTGCATATGCCTGTTATTTCCTTGGTTAAATATGTTGTTTCACTAATTCTGATCAACTATACTTAGGTAGGGGGTGGTTGTTGTTGATTCTCTCTGTAAAGTATTAACATACGGACCAAGGATATATGTATCTCCCGACATTACGTGTCTTAAAATGATTGCAATTGACGTTCATTTACAGTCAATGCTAAGCTAATAAGCTATGTCTAATTAGAATTCATAGAATTTCTTTTGGAGTAAAAGTTTTGTAGTGATATAGAAAGCTTGATGTATTTGTTTGTTTAAATATATGGTTGCAGATACCAGACCATCTTCTTCCAAAGGTTGCAATTTTCGGAAGGCCAAATGTTGGTAAATCAGCGTTGTTTAATCGTCTAGTGGGGGTATATCTAGCAACCTTTAGCTTGAGTTTCCGTCCACTATTTTTTTTTTTTACAAAAATTTTGTTCCCTGTTTGATCCCATTCTCATTTCCATAGGGTAACAAAGCAATTGTGGTGGATGAGCCTGGGGTTACTAGGGACCGTTTGTATGGAAGGTCTTTTTGGGGAGACCATGAATTCATGGTCATAGATACTGGAGGAGTTGTGTCATTATCCAAATCACAGGAAGATGTTGTAGAGGACTTGAATGTATCCACAACTATTGGTATGGAGGGAATCCCATTGGCTGCTAGGGAGGCCGCTGTGGCTAGAATGCCTTCTCAAATTGAGAGACAAGCAGCTATAGCTGTTGAAGAGTCATCAGTGATCATATTTGTCGTTGATGGTCAGGTAGGCTTCTCCTCTATCCAAGTAATTCTTGATATTGCATATTTGCATGTTGTATCCAAGTAAATTTTCCTTTTCTCAAAGTTTCTCTCTCTTAGCTCAAGTTTGAGACCTAGCTTGCTTTTAGTGGCAACTTATGCTAGGGTGATTTAATTTGCAAACCAAGAGTTCTGATACCTTTGTTTGCTCACAGTCTCACACAGACATCTAGATGATCCATAAGGCCAAAACTCCACCCACCCCCCCCCCCCCTCAAACACCCATTCTCTCTCTCTCTCTCTCTCTCTCTCTCTCTCTTTTGGTCTTTCTATTGTAAATTTTCTGTTAGGACCCTGATGATAGAAAAATAAAGATCAGTTGGTGCACAGACCTTTCATTCATTTTTCCTTGAATTTTATTTTAGCTGCACCACATTAAGATAAAGTTGATCATACTGTTTCCCTGTCAAGTAAATCTCATCAAGACAATTCTGAACAGGCTGGCCTAACTGCAGGTGATGTGGAAATAGCTGATTGGCTACGTAAAAACTATTCAAAGAAAAATACTATACTTGCTGTTAACAAATGTGAATCTCCCAGTAAAGGGCTAGCACAGGTATCGGAGTTTTGGTCTTTGGGGTGAGTTATACTGTACCTTTGATTATTTTCATGTTTATGTTTCACTATGGTCCTTCAAATGCTTATGGTGACTCTTTGCCTGGAAGTGTAGCTTCAAATAGCGTCCTTCTGTGTATCTATGTTGTATATGTTTTCTCTAGTATTTCAGTGAATTCTGATTTCAATGTTCAAGCTATCTTTTCCCTGAAATATTACTGTTTCTTCTCTGCTGTTTTAATTATATCCAGAAGGCTGTGTTCCCCAATTCTTTATTCCTCCTTTTCTGGCCTTCTATATGTATTTGGTATTTGGCTGTTTAGGTTCTGCTTTAGTGAGTTTTCTATGACTTAGCAGTGGACCATATTGACTAACCAAGAGTGAAAGAATCTCAAACTAGCCTTTGTGGTCCCAGTATTTGAGTGCAAATGCAAGACAAAGATGATATTTGGGCTACAATCTAGGAAATTTTAAAGTGCTGAAGACTAACTTCTATTGAGGAAAATATGAGAATGTGGGTAAGAAGTAAGTATTTGGAAATGTAAAGGAGGAGGCTAGATGTCCCAGTCAAATTCTCTTCGGTAGTGTTCGGAAGTCAAGATTGGAATTGATTTTCTTGAATTCAATTTTGGACTTTGCAATCTGGAATTTCAATATCAAATATGATGTTTGGGATATATGAGGATTTTGAATTCCATAATTTTAAAGTACAACAATTTGGTAAATTTTAAATTGTGGAGTTGAAAAAATTACAAAACTAATTTAATTAGTAGCAATATTTCCAAAGCTGCTTCATTGATCTTGTTGTTGAGTTGAGAAATGTTGGTTTTGGCTTCTTTTAACAACTGAAGCATCTACCACCCCTGGTTTCATAGTCTACGAAAGGCTGGCAGAGAAAGTGGTGATGATGGTGGAGTAGAGAGAAAGCTTTTGCAAGATGGGAGAGACTATGTTTGGGAGATGAGAGAGAAATGATGATGTTCCTTGCACCTTCAATAGCCTTAAAAAAGGAGAAACAGAAGGGATGCTTAGGGAAGCAGAATACTTGGCAACACGACATTGAAATTTAGAAATGATAAAGGCTTTAATTTGTAGACCTTATTGTGGAATTGGCTCAAGTCCATTTCTAAATTCTTTAAATTTCCAAACAGACTATTTGGGCCAATTCCAGCATTTGAAATGATAAGGGATTGTAAGATAAGAGATGGACCTAAGAAGATATGGAATGAGATTATAAGGGACATTTTGGCATTGCCAAGCTTACAGAGGGCATGGCCCTAGATAGGAATAGCCAAATAGGTATTGGATTGGGATCTAGGCAGTGGATCTTAAGTAGGTGTTATCTTTGGCATTATCCTTGTGTGCTTATTTGATTGGTGCTGCTTTATTGAAGGGGAAATGTGTGGATCATATGGATGGAAATTGTGGGCGAGTTATGTTGGGCTTTTGGGAATAATTTCTCTAATAATTGTAAACATTCAGGGTTAAGGCTACGTGCCTACATATATCTAGACCTCCCCTGACAACCAGCCCATGTCTTGACAATATAAATGCTTTGTGGTTTCTCTTGTTATTGATTACTGTAATCATATGGTTGAATTGCACTTTTCACCGTTTTGTTGGTTACTGTAACTTCGCCGCACCAATCTTAGTTTTTCTGGTTATCAGAATAGATATCCCGACTATAATTCTGTTGCAAATTGTTAGGTAAAGCCTGTTTAATGTCTGATTCGACTTTGTATTCTGCAAAACACTGTTGTATAACATTTATTTTGAAATATTCACCTAGACCATTAATTTAGTTGAATTGCTATATTGTACTAGTTGGCACAGATGAAGGATCTTCCTGCTAAAAATAACATAATAAGGTGATAGGATAAGGACATAAGGTGTTAAATACTTAACAGTGTACTTCAAGGATGTTACAAGTATGTTTAGATCTCTTAAATTACAAAAAATGCAATATGCTGCTTCTGTGACCGTTGATCTTAATTGCGACCACAACAATTGTTTATGCTTAATGTACTAACATATATAGAGAAGCCAATCAATTTCAGGAAAGGTTGCATCTGTATTATAATTGTATTGATTTATTGAAAACTGGATACATGCCTGTTCAATGAATGTAGATATGCTGATATGGGTAGATATTTGCTTGTTTGCATATAGCCTATATGTATCTGTTTCAGTCCAATAGCCCTTTTATGAGGATTAATGGATGTACTCGCTAGTAAGATAAACATGTACCACTGTACAAGCTATATTTAGGAATAACTTATCTTCCGTTTGGCCTTTTCTCTGAAGTGTTTTCATGTTCTGTTTGGTGGTGTAGGTTATCTCCTATTCCTGTATCTGCAATCTCTGGAAGTGGAACTGGGGAGCTCCTTGATCTCGTTTGTTCAGGGTTGACAAAAATTGAGGTAGCTGAATAGCTGATAGATGTTCATTTAAAATTATAAATAACCTAATATAAGCCTGTAGGAAGAAGATAAGAAAACTGAAGACTTCTTTATGAAGCAAAAAAAGTCTTAACTGCTTGTTTTCCAATTGTTGCCTTGTTGGTGTAACAGATGCCTCATGCCTGAAGCATGAATTGCTCTTTGTGTTTCCATTGTCTCCTTAATATGAATATCAATGTTAGTATATTGATTCATGAAGTGCACATTTGACATGTTGTCTATCTTGCAAGTACAGGAGCCTGTTGATCTTGAAGAAGAGGAAAATTACATCCCTGCTATTGCAATTGTAGGCAGACCAAATGTTGGAAAAAGCAGCATATTAAATGCATTAGTTGGGGAGGACAGGACTGTTGTGAGTCCTGTTAGTGGTACTACTCGTGATGCTATCGATACTGAATTTGCAGCACCAGATGGACAGGTTGGACTCTGTGAATAAATATTATTTATTTCGTTCAATCTTTGCATTTTGGTGGCGGATAACTTTCAGATCTTATTTGATATGCTTGTGTAGTGTACCTTTTCTATTCCTGTTCTATGTCACCTTGTAAGTTTCTGTAAAAATTTATGCAAATGCTCAAGTTTATCAAGTTTCAGTCTTTTTTTATTTATTTTTTTTTTAATTTTTTTTATATATTTATTTATTTTTGGTGGTATGAACAATGAACAATGAACATGGCCATGAATGATTGGGCAACTTTCTGTCTTTGGTTGGAAACCTGTTCTCTGTCTCCAGTTTTCAGAGTCTTGCTTCAAAATGAAAACATTGGAGGGGCAAGAACCATCTTTTTTAACCTCCCTTCTCTCCCAAGTCATAGTGTGGCCCATTTTACCTACTTGCTAGTGGACTCTGATGGTGGGGTATTTGTAACTTCTGACATATTTTGCAGAAGTTCCGGCTTATTGATACTGCTGGAATCCGAAGAAAATCGGCTGTAGCATCATCGGGGAGCATCACTGAGGGTTTATCTGTCAATCGAGCTTTTCGTGCTATTCGTCGCTCTGATGTTGTTGCTCTCGTCATTGAGGCAATGGCCTGTATAACAGAACAGGTAAATTGTCTTTAAGTATCCTCATGGCAGTTAAGGGATAAAAATTTACTTTTATCTAAGCTACTTGTAGTTTTACAGCTTTTACTGCTTTTGCATTAACAATCAGGGTGTTCCACAAATGATGGATTTTATCTTGTTGGGTTTTTGGACCTTTGGTTGACAGTCAAAGCTAGGCTTTCAATTTTCTATTTTGTTAGAGGTCTGGGTTTGTATATTTCAAAACTATCATACCTTAAGTTTTCACTACTTGTATGTCATTCACCTTGTATGGACTTATGCTCGGAGATGGTGCCATGACACTGGCTGTCCATCTTGGAAAATGGAATATTAGAACTTAGAAGCTTCTTATTGCTTTTCAGCATTTGTGGATGCTGTGTATGTAGAGTAATAGAAATAGAGTATGGACTTAATTTTGTACATACAATTTCAGTTTTTCCCCCCTATTCTTCAGGTGGATTGTTTTGTGGCAGGGGAGGTAGTAATTAAGCAATATATTGGCATACTTTTATACGGAGTATATTAACATATTGCCTTTGATTATTTTGTTTTTCTCTTGAGGCCTGGGAAGCTCCGGTCATTGGCTAGGTTCCTAGAAAATAGGAACATTTTTCACATTTTGGTTGCTCAGCTTTTGCATAGTGCTTAGTTTGCTACTTCCTTGTTGAATCACTCTGAAATTTATTCCTCTTTCCAAACATAATTATGCAATATATTTCTGTTGTTTGGGTGGGTGGGTGGGGGGGGGGGGGGGGTTGGTTGAGTAACCCAGAAAGAAGACCCCCTGTTAGCTAACCCTTTTTATTGGCTATGTGAAAGAGTGGGTATTATTTGGTTTTTGAAGAGTATATGTAGTTCTGTCTTTATAAATTATGATGTCCTTTCCTTTGAAATCAACGAGATCAGCTGGTAGTTATCAATTTATCGTTTGCAGTTTTTCTGTGCATTCATGCTGGCTGAAGGAAAAAGTACTTATGCTCCTTGGTGGTCTATTTTATGGCTTCTTGTTTTGTAATCTGAGGGCTTGATACCTTTTATATTATTTTCTAGGACTACAAGATTGCAGAACGAATTGAAATGGAAGGAAAGGGCTGTTTGATTGTCGTGAATAAATGGGATACAATACCAAATAAGAACCAGCAGACAGCAGTGTTGTATGAGCAAGATGTTAGACAGAAGATTCGCAGTCTTCATTGGGCACCCATTGTTTATGCTGCTGCAATATCTGGTCAAAGTGTTGATAAGTATGAACTATCCAATAGTTACTTTTCGATAAACATAATTGCAAATTAACATATCTTGAATTAAATTCCTATCATTTGGCTTTTTACATACATGTGAGGTGGATGAAATTTATGACTTACTGAATGATTATTAATACTCATCCGCTTCTTTGTTATGTCTTAAAGACTTTCCGTGTGACTCATAGGGTTAGGGTCCTTGATGAAATGTTTATCTATTATCTGTAGCATTAGATTACTGGCTGAAGTCTGTGTGATTATATTTTGGTTGGAGCAAATTGCCAATTGAAGTCCTTGCCTACTTATATACACGCCTCTGTCCTTAGATATTATTGCTTGTAATTTCTTGTTTTTGCTCTTATCCTCTTTGCTGAGGGATTCAGAGCTTTTGACATGTGGTATGAAAGCTGGTTTTTTACTTGAAAACTTACATAGCTCCATGGTCATTATGACACCACAATAGGACGTGGATTTGAGCTGTTGGGAATCGAAGTGTGGTCTACATTCTTACATTCTAATCCTTTTAATTGTCATCTAAGTCCTAGATAACACTATTTTGTGAAGTATTTCCAGTGAAAATAGTAGCCGTATAGATTCCACAGTAAGCTTCAGATATTCTAGGGTTTAGGCAGGGGAGTGAGCAGAACCAATATAGGGGGAACACATGGTGTGTATCCTGTGATGAATGGCTTTAGAAGAATTTTAATTCAACAGAAACATATTTGAAATTGTAGGGTTTAGTATTTGTATATCTGATTCTCCACACTGCCATAGATGAGAGCTTCATGACAGGCTTTATGCTATGGTTTGATGTGGTGAAGGAGTTGGTGATATTTTGTGGGATCTGTAAAAGCTTTCCACTTATAAGGACTCTATTAAGTTTGCTTAAAGTTTCAATTTTATTGTTCCAGGGAGTCTTGCATTTAGTCTGGAAATTATTAACATGCTACATCCAGTAATTATTGTCCTTGCCGACAATTTGATTTTTCGATCATGTTTATAGGATCATTGTTGCTGCCAGCATAGTAGAGAAAGAAAGGTCAAGAAGGCTAAGTACGGCCACATTGAATCAAGTTGTCCGAGAGGCTGTGGCTTTTAAAGCTCCACCAAGAACTCGAGCAGGGAAGAGGGGGCGTGTATATTATTGCACACAGGTATTTTTTTATGGTAGATTTTCTTAAGAACACTGAAAATTTTCTTGCTTATCTTTTGGAGCATGATTACTGGGTCCCTAGTGTCTTGCAGTTTTTTGAACAAGCATTTATTTCTGTGCGTCTTGTCTCTTTGCCCATTGGTGCTAATATTTTTATTCTGGCATTCCATCTTAATGTCTACACTACATGAGAATCATGTGAGCTACTAGAATTCTTGGACTTTCATATATTGCTACAGACATTCAGCAAGCAATGTAGCCATTATGTGTCAATTCATTGCTGAAATAATTCAGCAAGCAATTTATCCATTATGTGACAAATCAATTCTGAGATAATTCAGCGAGCAATGTATCCATTATGTGACAATTATATTGCATTAATCGTTGCTGAGAGTTGAGTGTCAGACTGTAGGTAACTGAGATATCCTTGTTAAAATCACAATTTTCATCCAGCTCCTGGTTAGTCAAGTAAAAGAATACATTCAAAGTGTGGCATCATTATAAAGTATATTGATTGTAGCTGGTCCTATGGAGTGCAATCAAATCATATTGGCATGTAATAGTAATTGATGTAGAAACTCTAGAAATTGGTATTAGGTGCAAAACTATTTTCTCTTAATCTAGAGATAATAGTCACATCATCCCATCCCTTCAACAGTAAGGATTGACTATAATTTCAACAATAAACCTTTATAATAATTGTGCTATTTCCAAATTTTCTCTTGCTAAATCAAAAGGTTGATATATTGGGAAAATCTACTCTCTATTTCTCCACTACTTTGAGGAAAGGAACTATCTTATGTGGTTTTGTTATACTATATGTGACTATTGTTCTAGTGATTATATACTATCAGCTCTTGTATTTGGTGCATTACTATTTGGAAGTTCCTTAAGGCTCACATTTTGTCATATAGGCTGCTATCCGGCCTCCCACATTTGTTTTCTTCGTCAATGATGCAAAGCTCTTCCCTGAGACTTATCGTCGCTATATGGAGAAGCAATTGCGTTCAGATGCTGGATTTGCTGGTACACCAATTCGACTTTTATGGCGCAGCAGAAGGAAAACTGTCAAAGATGCAGGTCATCATGCTGTTTCATTTATAGATTCCACTTCTACTGAAAGTTGAACAATTGGAACAAAAAAATTTAATCAATACATAATTCTGCAGGCTGCTCTGCTGACTATTAATACTTGAATAATTTTACAGGAAGCAGCCGAAGCACATCAACGAAGACGCGGGTAAAACTTCCAAGCAATAAAAATCAAAGAAAAGAAGTTGCAACTGTATAATATTGTTCGTTAGACAAGCTTTGGACATCCTAACTATCAGCATCGGTGAGAGCTGTATTGAAGAATTTTAGATTGGTGGTCCAGCTGAAGATCTAAAGAAAAAAGACCAACCGTTGAATTGCTCTGAATCCTTACTTTCCTTATGGCACTATTTTCATGGCATTCAACGCGTCGCCTCATACGTGATTATGAAGCCTTTAATATTACAGAAATTCCGCTGAGATCGTTAATGTATCTCATGATAGGGTGTATCGTAATCAAAGAGTTCTGGTGAGGTACTGAGGTTGGTGCCGTGGGGAAGCTTATTAATGGTGGCGTAGCTGTTACTATCATTATCTCTGGATTTGTCTATAGCTTATGTTGTATAGTAGTTATCTGTCAACAATTTATTGTTCTTACAACTTTGAACTACATTAACGAGTTAATGTAGCATTTAAATGAGCCATATGGAGCAGAGTATAGTTGAGTAACTGTTCTACCTGTTCATTTATCTTTGCTGATCTGAAATTAAATATCGAGTTTAACACCGATATTGATTACTCTCTTTTGACGTTAACAGGTTCAGACCTTTTGATGGAGATATCTGAAAGTGAACCTCAGGGCTTGGGATAAATTTGGTAAGAATTAAGATGCATTATTACCTTTCAATTTTCATATTAACATAACAAGTGATCCAAAATGAAAAGAACACTGGCGCTTCGGGTAAGAAACAAAAAGCCAATTAAATTGAATTCAGTTTTAGGAGTCACATTATTCCTATCTTATTCTGATTACAGGAAATAATCATCACCAAAAGAAAGGCAAAAAAAGCCAATTACAACAACTTCAAAAAAAAAAAAAAAAAAATATACATATTTTTCATTTTTTTTCAAGGGATAATCTTGTAAGCCTTCATCTTATCAATCCAAGAAATGAAAGAATTCTTGGTGTTCCTAAATCCCAAAAATCCATGTTCCTTGCTCTTGTTCATGCTATCCAAATACCATTCTCCAGCAAGAGTTGCATCCACAAACCACCAAGTCCCTACCTCATTCAACTTTGAAGGCACCAAACTATTCTCCCTCACTATCTCCTCCCACACCCCTTCCTTCCCTTTCATCCTCTCTTCGAGACTAAACCTGCCTTCGTTCTCATCGAACTCCATGATCTCGACCTCAAACTGCTCCCCCAACACCCTCCATAGCTGCTTCCACTTAAACACATCTCCATTGCTACAATTAAACGCCTCGTTCTTGGCATACGGATCCACTGCAGCCCATATCTGATGCTCTGCAATCAAATCCGCATCAGACGCCTGGGAGTAGCTCTCCCAGGCAGTTTTCGTACCCGGGAACTGCAGTGGAGTCCCCTCATGCTTGCATATAGCAGCATAAACACACAAACTACCCACAACATTCATCAAACTATACGGGGAAAACCCGAAAATCCCCCCAGGTCGATGGACAGACCATGTTAAGTCCTCCTTCTTAGCAACCTCATCATACAATATATCCTCAAGATCATAATAAAAATTAGGCGCATTCAACCTAGGCATATCCTCTGTAAATGGAGGATCATGATGCTCAATCTTTCCCCAAGACTCAAAAGGTCCCAAGTAATGTTTCACCCCTGTCTGCAAACATATATGTTTCAGATTCGGCGCGTTCGGAACCAATGCATTGATCACATTCCGAAACATCCTGCTGTTAACCCTGCAGTTTTCAGCTTCAGACTCACAGTTTGCCCAACATACATAAAAAACATTAGTAACATCAGTAAGCGGGGAAAGTTTCGATACGGCATCGTTTTCATCAGAGACATCACACTGGATATACTCAATTGGGTGATCCGAATTCCAGCCGGGCCGTGGACGTCGGGCCACGCCGTAAACTTTCCACGGCCCGCCCGGAGTGTCCGAAAGAGGAAGGATTTCTGCTAAACTGTTGCCTACGATTCCTGTAACTCCAACTACCAGAGCTACGCTCTGATAGTTTCTTGATGTTATTGCTACATAATCTGAATCATCGAGTTTTTTCTGCAATAATTTACAATTAAAAAATCAGGATAAAACTAAAATAATTACAAATTAATGGATGTAATGATGATTAAAAATTGGATGAATTATTGAAGTAGGAAATTGAAGAGGAGAGAGAAATAGAGATTAGCTTACCTTAGCTGCACCAATGGCGCCAGCCCACCACCAGCTCATGGCTTAGAGATTCTGTTCGAGTGAGAAATGAAATGGGGATTTGTGATGAAGGAGAGAGAGTAGGGGGGTTAGGTGGTATCGTGAGATCGTGAATAGGAGTTTAGGTGTGATGAGGAGAGTTTCGAGATTCAGATGAGGATTTTTTGGCTTGTCCGAATAATTATTATTATTAAAAAATTATTTTCGATATAAAAAATGTCATCGTTATATGCATAATTCAATAACCTACTATTTTTATACAATTTTTTTTTTTTCTTATAGGCCTTATTATTTCTTTTTGTTTCGATATGTTTAAAAGCAATGTTTGAAATTTGACACTACTACATATGAATGACGCATATACTTAGAGATATTAGTGAAATGATATGTGTTGGCAAGTTTAAAACTCCCAATATTGTAATTAAAAAAGAACGAAGAAAATAGTCAATAGTGTAATCACTAATTTAATGGTCAAAAGTTAACGATAAATAAGCTTAAATTCAATTAAGTAGAATTTAGCAAATACAATGTTTTAAGTTTGATGGTTTAAAGACTAGGATAAAATTTTGAAGTAAAAAAGGTCTAGATTTTTTTTTCTTTTTCTTTTTTTATTTTATTTTATTGAATTGCCATTCTTTCTTATTATTAAGTCAGGAACAACAATATTGTAAACATTGTGTAAAACAAATGACCAGGATTCTATTGGATTTTACATAAAGCATTTCGTGTAGTTGCTATATTGGCTCTTAGGTTGTAATTCTGCTTTTATAATGGAGTTCTCTTTGTCAAAAAAAAAAAAAAAAAAAAAAAAAAAAAAAAAAAATCGGCTATATGTCTTTCTCCGTTAAGAAATTAAAGGTTATCTTTAACTGGGCTTGAGGGGTGATGATGTTAGTTTAGTAGGGCTAAGGTTTGTTGGGCTTATTCCATTCTTCAAACTTCGCTATCTAGCTTGATCTACTACATATATACTGTCCAAACTTTTTTGAATGACATTATAAAAAAAAAAAAAAAAAATCAAGTACAGCACTGATTAGAGTTGTGATCAAGTCAATCATAAATTCATAATCATCAACCATTAAAAAATAAATTTGGTGGTATCATATTCGGCAGCCTTGTCTTGATCCATAATGTTCCAACAGTAGTAAATCAACTCCTCTAAATATGCGTGGTATGTCTTGTCAATTTATATGATAAGATTATCACTTATTAGGTAAGTTATTAGTAGTATTTAATTTCAACATAAAGAAGATTGCCTGTAAGTTGGGGTACAAAACTATGGTGTCCTGGTTGATTATATGCTTGTAATTAGTCCATAATTTAATGTGTACTGACAAGTTGCAATTTAATTTGTAAACTCAAGCCATACCATGCTACCATCAACTAATATAATCAAGGCAAGATCATGTGCTACCAAATCGAATGTACCAATTATTAATATAAACTGGAATTTATTTGAATTTATTAAAACATATTCTAACTATTCATTAAACTTCTTAGAATTCTAGATAAAACTTTTTCTACCAAAAAAGGAAAGTTGGAATTATGACAAATAGGCAAGAAAAAAAAAAAGAAGTAATTTATCTACTAAGCTTATTAAGATACCGTAATTTTTACATTGTAATGACATAAATGTTGTGGTGTACAACGTTATACTTTCAACCAAAAAAAAAAAAAAAATCATTTAAAAGAAAATAGGAAAATTAATCCTATTTTGATATTTTATTTATTTTATTTTATTTTATTTATTTTATTATTATTTTTTTTTCCCGATGGTTAGATATGATTGAATTATGTGAAGTTATTTTTTTTTTAATGCAAATTATGTAGACTTATTGTGAGTATGTACTGCGTAGTTGGAAAAAAGTTATGGGTCAAAATGTCCAATTAAAAGCATTGAACAAGTCTACAAGTGGCAAGTGATGAATATGATGTTGTCGAATCAGAACAGGATAATCAATGCTAAACGCAAATATAACTTTACTTAATTAGTTGGATCAATATATATTTATATATATACATTAATTTAATTATTGGCTCATCTAGATATTTTGCGGGGAAGAAAAATAAAAATTCATATTAAACATGTGTCAATTGTCATGTCATGAATTCATGATCATGCTTTTTAGGCCTTAAATGGAGGAAAGCCAACGGCAAAATCTGAAATGAAATTATTATTATTTTATATAATTTCGTATCATACGTTCATACTTCATCCATGAGACATGATTGTCTTTAATTTGCTTGTATATGTTGGGAAACAATTCAAGACGTAAGTCTTTCTTTCACGTTGGCGGTCCATTTTACTTGCATTGTTTAAACATCCAACTGGTATCAAAGTAGTGTTTAGTACCCGTAACATGTTTATACTTATATTAGTAAATGTACGATAATCAACCGTCACGTTTACTAGATAGATAGCGAAACATAATTATGTTGCAAAAATTCAACCCTTTAAGGACAAGAAAAGGAAAGAAATATGACCAATAATGGATTAATGGGCGTTACAAAAATTGTCGACAATTATTGTGATTTGGTGGTGCATTATGGTTGGTTACAAAGAAAAATTGGATAGATGAACTTTAAATTTTTTGATTGCCCAAATATCATTTTGCTCATGATAGGTGATGATCGAGATTTGAGAAGATGGAAAATTAAACTTAATTTGTTTAATAAGGCTTTGAGATTTCATATTAATTAGCCTTAGGTAAACTTAGCTTTCATCTTGCTAACATTAAGCCATTAGGTTTACCTCACAATATTGCCCTTGACCTTAAAAAAAAAAACACAACCTCAAAAAAAATCAAAGTATGGGGATGTCGAGGCGGCAAGGTAAAGAGTTGGCGGCGGCTGTGGAGGAGGGAGGGTTGGCTCGTGGCGACAAGGTGGTGGTGGCGCCAGGTCCGGCAGCCACGTCCACCGGTATGGCGTCTGGGCAGGACGCCCAGCCACGGTAAGTGGCGTTTGGGACAGGCGCTAGTCACTATGGCTGGGCGTCTTGCCCAGACGCCAGGCCGGTGGACGTGGCTGCCGGACCTGGCGCCACCACCAGCCATCGGCCGTCTTGGCCAGGCGCCCCACCACCAGCCGTGGTTGTTTTGTTAATTTTTTTTTTAATTTTTTTTTGTTTTTTTGTATAATATTTTTTTTTGTTGGAATTTGAGATTTTTTTTTTCTATTTTTGTGTAATATCATATGTTTTTTTGTTGGAAATTGATAATTTTTTGTTTTCTTTTTTTTTTGTGTAATATTGTGTTTTTTTTTGTTGGAAATTGAGAAAAAAAATTTCTTTTTTTTTTTAATATTTTGTTTTTTTTTTTGTTGGTAAATGAGAAATTTTTTTATTATGAATTTTAAGCAAGTCAAATGTAAAAAAAAAAAAATAAAAAATAAAAAAATAAATAAAAAATTGGCCGGACCACCACCTTGGAACCGGCGCCTGGCCGGGACGCCGCCACCATGGTGGTGGCGCCTAGCCGGGACGCCAGTACCATGGTCATGGCGCCTGGCCTGGAAGCCTCAACCATGGTACAGGCGTCCTGGCTAGGCGCCACCGCCATGGTGGCGGCGTCCCGGCCAGGCGCCGGTGCCACGGTGGTGGCGGCTCCTCCGGACGCCAGCCGTCTTTTCCGATGACATTCGTCGTCCCCCGGATCTCCGGCCTCCCCCAGCGTCCCCGTACGACTCTACATTTTTCGGTGAGTGAAATTTTCGTTTTCAGAGAAAATTGACAAAGGGGCAAAACTGTCAAATCATATTAATTTTGTGGGCTTTATGTAGTAATTTGTGGGCGATGTTTAACAAATCCCTTAACTATTTATTTATTTTTTATTTTTTGCTTTTTTGAGGGCTAGGGCACATGCTCATTTTGGTTGGAAAATAAATGACGAGTACAAGAGTACTCTTTTTGTATCCAAAATTTAATAAGTTTTGCTTTAGTAAATACTCATATGTACAATATGATACAACTCCATATAAGTATTATATTGGTTTACAAAGTAAAGTTTTGACCTAGTGATAAGGATTGAACCTTTTGAATCGTAGTTCAATTCCCACAAGGAACACTATGAGGGTAGGGACTTCCCTTACCCTTCTTTTTCTATCTCATAGTGTCAAGTCTGCAAAGGCGGGCTGACTTAACCTATGAGAGGTTTCGGTACAATAAGAAAATTAACCTCACCTGCCCCCCCAAAAAAAAACCAAAAACAAAAAAACTATTCTTTAGATAAAAAAATAAAAATTAACTAAAATTATAATAAAATCTCAAAAAAGAAACAAAATAAACCAGCAATACAATACTTTTATCTTGTTTTTGGATATACCTAGAAGTAGGTATTATAATGCTGCTTTTTTTTTTTTTTTTTTTTTTTTTTTTCCCTTTTTTTTGGCCTCATTTGATTAGTTTCGCTTAAATAAAATGAGCGAAAAAACAGTCATGGATACACCTGCCTATCGTGTACAATACTTGAGAACAACTAAGTATTTGTACCACCCTATCATATGAAAGCCTAAGCTGAAATATAGAAAGAGACATTACTGCCATATAGTGATGGTTAGTTCAGGAAATTGTAAGATATTAGAGAGAAACTAATAAATGGTGGGGGGACTACAAAGTAGTTACACTGATAGATGAGTAATAAGAGTGATAACCTATTACTGTTTTTAAAAGCAGAACAGTATATTTATAGTGACCTATCTTCTTAATACTTGGCATAATAAACAGTTTTTTGTTAAAACAAAATGGAGAGAGAAGTAGAAGAACTAAGAGAGTACTTTAGTGCTGGGAAAACAAGAGAAGCATCATGGAGGAAGCAACAATTGAAAGGGTTGCTCAAGTTTATGAAAGAAAGAGAAGAAGATATACTTAAAGCCCTGAAGCTTGATATTGGCAAGCACCCCGTCGAATCTTTCAGAGACGAGGTAAAAAAATTATTTATCAGTATTTTAGCGGAAATTGATTTGATTTAATAAATTCCTTAGCGGAACTTGATTTGATTTAATAAATTCTTATTTCCGTCTATATTTTTATTAATAGAAATGAAAGAAAAAAGAGATTCGTGAAAATCATGTTATATTTGGACCACTAGAGCTTTTATAATTAAAGCCTTTTCTATTGGGTTCTTGGCATGTGATTGAGTATTTATGTGTATGTTTGATAACATTATTTTTGTAGGTGGAGATGATAAATTAGGTCATTAGTTGTTAGAGTTTTTATGATTTTAACTTTGAAGTACAGTTGGTATGTCCATAAACATTCTTCCCATGCTTCCGATATCTACAAAGACTAGGATCGGTGGTCCATTGAACCCGATCAATGGATCATGCGACAAACTTAGCCTAGACCATTCTATTTATTAATCGTGGTAATCCAAAGGATGTGTTAGCCTAATAGAACCACAGTGAGCAACCATGACCCAGGGCACGACGACTGCTGCACGTACGTGTTATTTATGGGCCACACGTAAACTCGTGCAGTGGTTTAAGAATTGAAATCTTGAATCATCTTTAACTTGTTGGCTGGTCGGTCTTGAATTAACTCAGACCGCCTCATCCAGTCAGCCTG